TGGACCAATATGAAAACGTTGAAACATGATAAAAACATTGAAAACAATTAGCGTTCGGGCGGAAGCAGAAAATTTTTTGATGAATTCAAACAAAATAGGCGGACTTTTTTTTCCGAATTGCTCATATAAATCGTCATTATGTGATGATTGATTGAAACGATATGAAAGGTTAGCTGTACTAAAAATGTCGTGCGAGTAAAACTTTACTCATTCGAATTGTTTTTGCAGCTCTTGATTGCGATTCTTAATTGCAACGTGTATATTTCAACAGTAAAATAGAACTTGTTTCAGAATAACAATAAAACAGTTGTTCTCTTCTCTAAAAGCATAATGCCTTTCTTCAGGTTCACCGTTTATATTTGAAACGATGTTTTTTGTTATCGGTAAGGAGAAGAGCAACCAAAAATACCTTACAAACGCTATCGTTACGTTCGAACGCCCAGTGTCGAACATATGATTCTCGTTTCGTTTTATTAACACTAACATCATACTGGACAAGTTTTTCGAATTCAACATCTCTGACTCCTTTCACGGTTTTTGAAGTTTTGAGATCTGAAAGTATTTTTCACATTTCATTTGCGGCAATAAAATTGATTTGATTATGATCTTAATCGCTACGAGTATAGTTATGGGGAACGTTGGTTATGGGTGTCAAAATCATATGCGTCATCAGCAACAAACTGTAGTGTTGCTTGTGTAGTTGGTAACATGCATTGCTATTGCAAAACTATATTTACATTTGATTGTCAAAACGAATAGCTCTTTGTGAAACGTGATTCAGTTTAGAGCCGTGACAATTGCATTCTGTCAGTAATGTCATCAATGTTCATGCAACTGAATCATCGTTTCCACTAGCATAAGTAAAAATAAAACTCTGATAAATGAATAAATGCCATGCGTTAGCATCAGTGGTGACTCGAAAATGGGTAATACACAAAGCATTTACGAACATTTCATAGAAAGAAAACAAAAGTAAGAATGAATATCAAATGTTGAGAACCATTAAGTTTTTCGAAATTAATATCGCTTATTTGGACGGTATCTACCAACCAGTTAGCCTTCTTATCGAAACCAAGCTCTTTCTCGTAAATTGTCGACATTGCTTTGACTAAACATCATTTGTAAATTAAGTATAAGCATCATCTGTCTGCACATTCCGGAGTTGAAACACGAGCGTTACATATTTGAAACATATGTAACGCTCGTGTTTCAACTCCGGAACTCATCACTATAAAAGTTCGTTTTCATCCACAACATTTGGTTCGTACTCTTTTCAAAAGTAAAATTTCTTAAAATTTCGGACTGATAAATTTTTGAGCGATTGAAAGTGGTTTCGATTAGTAAAATGAACTGATTGAAACAGTTCACTGCACCTGCATGCAAACCAATATTGTATTGTTGTTTCAGCGCGTCAGTTACGGTTTCCGAAAACAGCTTCTTACCAACACCTTTCGAACGATATTTGGGTATCACATAATAGATCCCAACAAAACACATCTTCTCCATCTCAAAACATATGCATGTGCCAACGAATTCACTATCTGCAATAATCACATGAGAATGGTTCTTATAGATTGGTGATAAAAATAATTGTTATGATTGCTCTTATTATGATCTTTGTTATTGCTCTGTTCTGGAACATATGTTGATGGTGCTTTAGTGCATTTTGATAGCATAGTTTACGGCCAAGACGCAAGCATTACGATAAGATCACAAGTAAGCCGATTGTTTGAAAGTGTAAGCAAACAACAGTCGAGGATGTTCCTTCCAAAACGTTTTGCAGCTCTTTCCCTTCCAAATATTTATTGTCGTTTTGAATTTAGTTTCTTTGCTTCTGTTCGCTTCTTTCATTTGATCAATGTAAAATACTGTCAGTGTTCAGTGCTGGAGCATTCTAATCGATTTGTTGAAGGAAAAATGAATTGTGATGATTCATTTAAATTGAAAAAGCCGCAAATGATTAGAAAGAATAAGAATGATATTAATGGTATTTGATTGAAAAGTTGGAGAGTGAAAAGAGAGAAAAACTCTTCGTAGGTAACGCAAACAAAGCAGATGCTCTACATTGCAGTTCCCAAAACATATATTTTTCCTGCCTCCAACAAGCGTCGGTGTTTTTCGTGGTCTCAACTCCTCTTGAAACGTACGATTTCAATTAAACCACAAAACAATTTCAATTTCTTCTGTTTCATTTTTTGTCATAGTTTCTCATTGATGAAAGCAGCGGAAAATTTGAAACGGGCAATTTCACATTCAGTAAAATTCCAAAAATTCACTTTCGATAATTTCATTTCGCAATTCTGAATGAACATTTCTTTGAGCTGTTGCACGTCATTCACACATGCAAATAAAAGTGTGTCTCTTTGAAAAGCCGATTTTTAATTTATTCCACAAATTTTCCATGAAACTCGAGAAATGAAGAAAGCGAAAAAGGATACATTTTGTTTTTGCGACGATGTAGTGGATTTTCTCATCACCAAACATTTTCCTGTAGCAATCATAATCACGGAATTTGCGCACCCAATGGTCGCTTTCGTAGCTCGCTTGAACCATTGATGCAAAATCTTCTTTGGTTCCGCTCACAAATTGTAATCGTTCAAGCACTGCAACCAAAATCAATGAATTTCCCAACTATGCTAGTATGTTGCGGGACGGGAAAAAGTCGAGGACCCCGAAAATGCTCAAAAAAGTCGGACGGGGAATCGAGGACGGGTTTCCCTAAATTTCTCGATCCTCAAAACATACTGCAACTATATTGATCGATTGCACAAAATGGAATACTCGCTCACTAATACTCGTCAATAATTGAAGAATTTGCATGAATTCGAAATTGGAAGTCACCAGGCAAGTTACACTGCATGATTTATTGCTGAGAGTGATTATATGTCAATCGACAAGAAAAAATATGGGAAGTTTGATCGTTTGTGTCGTTTGTTGCATCAGAATATCAAATCAGTGTATACTGTTCTTAAAAGATGATCAATCAGAATGAATGAATGAAAGTGACAGCTGATCAGTGAATCGAAAGTGAATAACCAACCATCAGGTGCACCTGACGGATCATAATCCAATTCGAAGTCGTCTTCTGATTGCTCACCCATAATCGCTCCTCTTCCTTTATCAGTCGAGTTCACCTGCAATGAACGAATAAGTACATGCGAACTGTTTAAATGTGTCTAAATCGTCAGCGAAAGAGCATGCATTCGCAGAATGTGAGAATAACTGCTGAAATCATCAGTCAAGTGTTTGTCAGAGAAGTTTCGCGGTCAAAAACTCGATTCCACTGAACAAAATAGAATCGTCAAAATTTGTAATTTTAGGCGCCGAAACGGTGGAACACATCAAACCCTCAAAATGTTAACCAGAGACTCGTTCACCGATCAACCGACTGATGATTGATAGGAACAATGTCTTCATTATGTTCTTGACATTTCTCTCAAAAAACCAAATGTTCTACTGATTCATCATCGTTATCATCGCCAAAAGCGTTCGTTCTAACGCACCAATCGAGAATGCTCATCGAAACAGCACAGCCATTGAATATCGATCAAAACTAGCAAGCAATCAGTGCGTCGTGTAAATGATCAATAATAATCATATTTCAAACAAATCCACTGATGTGAATAGAAATTAGTGGTAGGGCTATAAAACAGAGACCATGTAAACAATACATTCATCACATTGTTCAAGTACAAAATCGAACTGATCGCAGTTTCAAATGGAAATTATTTGCTTTTTCGATAGACTCACATCTGTATGTGCAAAACGCAAAACCTAACGGACATTATCTTCTTCAAGGATTCTTGCGAACGCTTCGATTAAATCCTTATATTATAGTCAATAATAATTATATTGTTTACATGGTAGCTATCGAAACCTGTCATAAAAATATAAGAGTTTGCAAAACATTGCAGTCTTTCGAAGTCAGCACATCTATTTTTAGAACTTTTCGAATAATTTTTCTGGGTTTCCATTCACAAACCTCCTCAATTACAATTCATATCTGATGAAGGTCACTGTGAGACAATACAAGATGAATGAATTCAGAAAATTAAGCAATAGATTGTATTGCTTGGAGCAATGCAATAAAGCTGCCATATGTCTGCCAATATTACAAAGCTTGTGAAAAGAAATGAGAAGACTAAATTTTTACATTGTGCGAATCAGTTGTTGATGCGTTCAAATGCCCACATCGTCAACGACTGTAATAACCAAAAAATTGCTTCACTTATCATCGAAGAAACAAAACTTGAGAAAACAACGATTTGCAAGCTGCACTAATAGCACTCATAAGAATGAGGCCCATTCTGCGATTGCTCCTCGAATTCTCGAATTCCCGATGAAAGTCGTTGGTTAACGTTGAGAACGTTTCACTAATCATTTCAGTACGTCATCCGTTAAAGTTCA